CCAGAGTAGCTGCAGTTCTGACTTTTAGGACTGTCACTTCCTTACATTTCTCTGTATCTTTGTCACCTCATGTGCCTCCCTGGACACTGTGGCTTATTTTACCCTCACGTTTTTGTATCTGATGATGTCTTTTAAGTGTCTTAATGGACAGGTTTCTCTGTTCATCCCTTTCCTTTTCCGACATTGATCTGTTGAAGCCTGGGCTGTTTGCTCCCTAGAGTTGCGGGGTTGGCTGGACACTCCCGGGCGGTGCGACAGGTTCCCGTGCGCTCCTGGTTTCCTGACACTGGTCTGATCCAAACACCCGTCTTCCGAGGCCGAGCTCAGCGAGCGTCTGTAATTGAAGTTGACAGATTCATGTCATAATCGAGACACCACATGCCTCTCGATTCCCCGGGCAGCTGGTTTCTCTGAGAGAAGCTTCTCCCCGCACTCACTTTAGGCGAAGTGCACGTGGCCATCCTCACCGGCTGGCTCGTTCCTGCCTCACGCAGCCCCGCGCACCTCCGGGTCGTGCTAAATCCGCTGTCCGCCTTTCCAGCTCCGTGCTGTCAGGAACTTCTTCGTGCTTCTGCCGTTTGCTCTTGAGCGTTCCTGAACTGTCACGTGCGTGGGTGGCTCTGTGAGCCTGCTCCGTTCACGTCGGCCAGGAAGGGAAAACGTGGAGAGACCGTGTTCATCTGAAAGAGTTAGAGAACAGACTTTTAAAAGTTTTTATTTTATTTATTTATTTTTTTTTTTATCCTCACCCGAGGACGTTTTTCCATTTTTTGTACAGACAGAGTGGGAGGGAGAGAGAGGAAGAGAGAGAGAGGGAAACATCGATGTGAAAGGGACACATCGAGTGGCTGCCACCCGCACGACCAACCAGGGCCGGGGACAAACTGCAACCTAGGTACGTGCCCTTAGCGGGAACCGAACCCGGGTCTCTCCGGACCGCAGGCCGACGCTCCAACCGCTGAGCCAAACCGGCCAGGGCTAAAAGTTTTTAAATGAAATTTATTGAGGTGACATTGTTTAATGAAAGTACATGGGTTTCACGTGTACAGTTCTGTGCCACGTCATGTGCAGATTGCATTGAGCTCCTCCAGTCCCCAGCACATCTGCGTCAGCTGAGGGTTCGAACGTGCCCTTTGTACATGTGGTCAGTTAGTTTCGGAAGAATTCCTGGCAACTGAATACATGTAAGCTACACAATGGAATATAATTTCACTTTTTCTTTTTTGGTGAATCAAGATCTCATAAAGCCACCACCACGAGTAATTTTTAAACACTCCCAGATAAATCCAGGATCAACTATTTTAGGGGATGGTGGACGGGGCTTTTGTAACTTTCTCTTAGAGCAGAAACTTGACACACATAAGTCATGGGCTTGAGGCCCTTTGGGATCCCTGAGAGGGAAGGAACGGGAAACCGGGGAAATGAAAGGATGCCGAGGGGCCCACGGAAGAGCTAGGCCCCTGTCCCCCTGTGACCGCTGGGACGGGCTGCTGAGCCAGAGCCGGTTGTCAGAGGCTGCCGTCCTCTTCATCATCAGGAGGAGAGGGGGATGGGTTGGTCTTCACATTTCCCTGGAAGGAGGCCCATTTCTCATTTGTTCATTTTTCCCACATATTCAGGGCGCCTCTTGTATACCAGGCACTATAGGTCCTGCGTATACGGTGGAGCAGGAAACTGAGCATGGTCCCTGCTCCCGGGGCACAGTCAGCAGGTGAGCAGAGGAGACGGACACTGGGACGTGCAGGGGAGCAAGGAGGATGGAGGGGCCTGTGTTAGCGACGCGGCCGGGCAGGTGTTCCAGGCAAGGTTTGCGAGCCAGGCCATGCGGCGGGCTGGGGGCTTTGAGAAACGGAAGGAGAGGTACTTTCATTGAAGCATAAGGAGCAGGCAGGAGCCTGAAGCAGGACTTGGACCGTCTTCTCAGAAGTCATTTTTCACTCAGAGAGAGACACGTAACGGTCCTTCTGGACAACACTGTTCGCAACCATAAAGGATTCACTGCTCCCGGGGGAGCCTCCTCGCAGTCACAGGAAGTGGGAACATGCATTAACACACGCTGGTCTGGTCCTTAATTTACTTCCCCTGGGATACTGGGCGAGCGTTCCTACAGAATTGTGTTCCCTTGTGGTGAAGTGTGGCCATGTTGAACTACCAAGTTTGAAAACTTAACTCTGGGCTTTTCTGAATCTCCCCTACCAGCTCTTTGGCTTCATGGACCTCCTTTCCAAATGGCCAAGTAGACTTCAGAATGCTTGCAGTTTCTAGTTGGTTACATGTTGTCATGAAATGCATTTCCATCTTCATGAATCACAGTCCAGAAATGGGAGAACCTTAGGATCATTTGGTTGAAAATGACCTATGATCACCAGCTGGGTAGTTGGGTCTCTGCAGTGAGGGTTGTGCCAAGGGTCGCGCCGTGGGGTTCCCTGGCAGCTGAAAGGAAGGGGACCTCTCCTTTATTGAGCCTCGGTGTGATGTTGTGCTACAAGGACAGGCTGAACTCCCCACGCTCTCCGTGCTGTCCTTTCTCTGGTTTGCACATACCTGCCTGATTCCTGTTTTATGTCAGTGTAGTCTGTTCCCTCTTCCCTTGCTCGTCACTCGAGATGGATGGCCTTGCTGCAGGAAGGTCACTGCTGGTGACCAGACGGTGAGCTCAGTGTTTTTACTGCAGCTGCGGTTCATTGTGCCCTGTCTGCTGGGGCAGACACTCTCAGCTGCTGGGGCACTGCCCGCCGTGATGGTCTTCCACCCTTTTCCCATCACCTGCCTTGCTTCTGCTTTCAAATTCTCCCTCTTCTCCTTCCTTTCGGTTCTGTTTGGAGCTTTTATGTTCCGCCCACCCAGCCCCTGTGACTTTCCTTCTCCTCCTCTTGTATCTCCTCTGCTTTTCTCTCTGCTCCTTTTCTAACCTCCCTGCCCACTAACCTTTCTCTTCCCTTGACTCATCTCCACGGCCCATGTCCCATCTTCTTTGCTGCAAATGGCATTTGGCATTGAGTTTTGATCATTACCCAACTAATAGCAACAGATGCCATTTGTGGATTACCATGGCTCCCTCAGCCCCACTCCATCCACAGTTTTACTTTTTGCAGTTTGTTATTCATGGTCAAAGGTGGCCCAAAAATAGTAAGTGGAAAATTCCAGAAATAAACAGTTCCTAAGTTTTGAATCGCATGTTGTTCTGAGTTAGCGTGAGGAAATCTTGCTCCGCCCCACTCTATCCAGTCCAGGGTGTGAGTCATCCCTTTTGTCCAACACTGTTATCAGAGAGAGACCACACTCACACAGCTTCTATTACAGTATGTGGTTATAGTTGTCCTATTTTATTATTAGTTACTGTTGTTAGTCTTTTACTGTGCCTAATTTATAAATTAAACTTTATCATAAGTATGTACGTATAGGGCAAAAGCAGTGTACATAGGGTTCAGTACCATTCACTTTCAGACATCTACTGGGGTCTTGGAATGTATCCCCCATGGATAAGGGGAGCTACTATATTTAATCTTCTTGTTAGGGACTCAGGCACGTTCTGCTCTATATATGCCCAGGCCCCCAATGCCTAGCGAGGTCCTGGTGTGGAGTGAACACTTAGCTGGTCACCCTGATGGTGTCCATTATCCACAGTTTCTGCCCCAAAGAAGTTTCTGGATCTTGAAACTTCCAGGCTCTCCTGATGAGAGTGGGTTGAGAGCTAGATGACAGATACAGAACATGCCCTGTGTTGTGTATCACACAGTAGTGTAAGAACCTCTACAACAGCGGTTCTCAACCTGTGGGTCGCGACCCCTTTGGGGGTCAAACGACTCGTTCACAGGGGTCGCCTAAGACAGAACAATAGCAAAATTACAGTTAAGAAGTAGCAACAAAAATAATTTTATGGTTGGGGGTCACCATAACATGAGGAGCTGTATTAAAGGGTTGCGGGATTAGGAAGGTTGAGAACCACTGCTCTACGGTTTCGGGGATAGAATGCTGTTGATGAATCTGGTCTGGGCCCTGGCATCTCCATTCCCGCAGCCTGGCATGAGAGGGGCCTGGACGTGAGCGCCCTCACCAGTGTGGGAGGAGAGATGGGTGAAAGCACTTCGTGAAGGACAAAACACCAGGCAAATAAAGAAAGCATCATTGTGTTGCCTGTATCCATCCTAACCCAATTAGGAATTTTGAATTGGACTCTTCGCATTACAAACATATGAGTTACTTTAGCCCTGGCCGGTTTGGCTCAGTGGTTGTAGTGTCGGCCTACGGACCAGAGAGTCTGGTTCCCGCTAGGGGCACGTACCAAATAAAACAAAACCAAAAAACAACAACAACCAAAAACCCCAAATATATGTGTTACTTTAAGCCTGTCTGTTGGAGGATTGTGTCTGTCTCATCAAATGATAAGGGCTGGCGTGTGCTTGAGCCCATAGAGAATGGGTATTGAAAAGCCTCTTTTATTTAGGATTAAATTTAGGAGTAAAAGTAGACAAATGACAATAAAAATAAATATGCATTTCTAATAGCAAGTGTCTATACAAATCAATGTGATGGGTTTGCTTACCTTAATTTTTGTTTTTCAAATGCAAAGATGCAATATGTTTTATATATGATGTAGCTGAGTTGTAGAACACCCACACCATGAACGGCTTGCCTTAGCGTTTCAAAATTCATAAACTTGGACTTCTTCTGTTTAGCTCCCGGACTGTGGGAGAAAATGCATTCACCACATTCATCAAAGACATTCATGGTCTTTCCTTGTCCATTTTCATCCTCCTGTGAAACCTTGACCCACTCAGGACAGAGAAATTGGCCAAACCCCTCTCACGAAATCGAGTCATCATGAGCGTATCAGTTTCTCGCCTCTGCTGGGCTCCTGTGATTGGCAGGTGAACCAGAAGAGGGCTAACTGCTGGGCCTCCTTCTGTGTCCTCAGGTGTCTTTCCTTAGCAAGCCCCAACCCATTCGCTCTCTTGAGCCTTGTGCATCTACCTGTCTGTTCTCTTTCTTTCCTACAGGCCATGCAGGATGCGCTGGCAGACCTTCCGGAGTGGTATGGAATCAAAGGCATGCAGGCCCACTGGATCGGGGACTGTGTGGGCTGCCATCTGGACTTTGAGCTAAAGGTGACCGGGTAGTAGCCTTTCCAGCAGTTAATGCTCACAGGTCCCTTCTGCGTTGCTCCGGCTCGTGGACCACACCAGCAGCTGGGGCCCCACTGTCCAGTAGAAAGTCACATATGTAATTTCAGATTTTCCAGTAGCCACAACCTTTAAAGTGCAAAGAAACAGGTGAAATTTATTTTAATAATGTTTCTTTCCAACCAATTATATTCAGAATTTTACTGTTTTAAGATGTGATCAAGAATAATAATTTAAAAAAAAGTATGAAGAAAATAGTTAACACTGGTTTTAGTACCGAGTCTTCGAAATCTGCGTTTACTTACAGCACATGCATTGCAGGTGCTTCCGGCCGCATATTCTCTGGCTGCCACATTGCACAGCACCTGTCTAGATCGTCTTCTGGGGGTCCTGGGACTCCCTGAAATTAGGTGCAGAATGTTGTGTGGGCAGTGGGTCCACAGCTCTCACTCTGTCGGGGGGGTTCAGGGCCCACGACAGGGAGCCATGAATTCATTGCTACACGTGAAGCTGGTATAGACGGTGCTTCCCGGGGCCACGAGAGGGGACCTGCGCAGAAACTGCCGAAGGCCCACCTCTCTGCAGGTGCCTTCACACTGCTCTCGGTCTCTGCTGGCTAGAAGGTTGTTGTGTTGCAATTTATTGCCTGGGTGTTATTTTTTTATCCTTCTGATTTCTCTTCCTCCAGTCAAGACCTGTGTGCCAGTTCATTTAGCTGCAAACCAACCCTTCCCCTACTTTAGTCCCAGTCAAAACCTTAGGAGAGGGAGCTACAGCCAAGAGACAGAGATGACCCACCTTTCTAGGCTCATTCCTCCTGACAGCCGCCATATCTGGTGCCCACGGAGCACCTGCTGCTTGTCGCTGAGCTCACGATCCCCGTGCCAGCTCCTCACCTGAGCGACCCAGCCCACTCCAGCCGCACACGCGGGAGCCCCCAGCAGAGAGTGTGTGCTTTGAAAACTAAATCCTGAAACGAACTTTTCTCCTACTGCCTTTCTGAGCAGGTGTTGAGATTTCCAGCTGTGACTTGTGCTCAGACTCCCAGGGCCAGGAAGACGGGATGGCATCTCCGACTTTGGCCACCTTCCATCCAGGGCCCCAAGCGAGCCTGGTGGCGGGCACTAGGCAGGGCTTCTGAAGGAGAAGCTGCAAGCCTCTGCCCCTGCCGGGGTCCCTCGGGCCCCCACGTCCCGGGGCTTTGGCCAGAAGCTGGGCCCACTGCTTGCGATCGAGGAGGGGAGGTGAAGGGAGCAGCTGGGGGCACAACAGCCCAGAGGGAGGACCGAGAAGTGAAATGACCGTGCTCTGTGCTCTTCCCCGGCCAGGTTGATGGGCAGGTCACGGGAGAAAAGCTGACCGCCTACACGGCCACCCCCGAGGCCATCTATGGCGCATCCCACGTTGCTGTCACCCCCAGCCACAGACTCCTACACGGGCACAGCTCTCTGAAGGAAGCCTTCCGGAAGGCACTGGTCCCTGGCAAAGGTGAGTTGGCAAGTTGAGGCCAAGACGGAGGCTAGTGCCTTACATTGCGCCTTACAGTGTTTCAGACTTCGTGGTCTTTCACGTCATCTGTGTGACTCGCTCTTCACCTTGGCCTGACGTTATTTTATCTTAAAGCCTAGGGGTTACAGAAGAGCTCTGAGAATACGACGTTGCCCCCTGCTTTCACTTTGAGCCCCTGGATTGGGTGCTGCTTGAGTTTCTAGCGCGAACCGCAACCCTTTCCCTTTAAATGGAATCTGGATTTAAAGGCCTTTTCTGATAGGAATAGAATCTTCTGCTTCATTAATAATTCCATCACCAAATAAAGCTGTACGGACAGGGACAGGAAGGAAGCCGCTGAGAACTAGAGGCAACATTTTCATCAACTTGATATTATTTTAATGAAGTCACATCGTAATCTGAGCAGACGATCAGAGTGCTGCTCAATAGAGGTCTTTAATGAATGGTCGAGCCGAACGGGAATGGGCAGTGACTGTTACTGGTCCGTGAGGGTTTGGGGGGTGCCTGTTCATCTGGGGCTGTGGCTGCAAGCCAGAATCCACCTCTGGCTGTCCCAGAGGGGAAGGGGAACCCACTGGCAGGCTATGGGGACCTTGCTGACCAGAGGAGCCCTGGAGAACCAGTCTGGAAGAGGACTTGGGCAGCAGCCTTGGACGTTTGGGCAGCTGGGCAGCAGAGATTAGTTGTATCTCTCGAATGCCACTGACTGCAGGAGTCTGCTCGCCCTTGGTGCTTGGGGCACTTGGTTCAAGATTCCTGTTGCAGGGAAAGGTGTCTGATTGGTATCACTGGGGTCCCTGGCATCTTTTCTTGGCCTAGGGAAGGCCAGGGATCTTTCATGGTGGACTACCAAGACTCTAACCAGTGAGGAAGGGGTAGGTCTCCCAAAACAAACTCAGAGGCTCTTCCCAGAGGAAGGGGGTCTGGGTCCTGGGCAGGCGGAAGGAGGTCCTCTAGGGATTAGAAGGGGTCTCCGGAGAATTGTAAATATTTCTACAAAAATCTCATCCCTGTTTTCTTTTCATCGAGTATAAACTGAAGTGCACACAGTCTGAATCGGTGGGATCTAGTTGAATTATTTAACTAGCAAAAATGTTTTGGATGGTGATAAAAGTGGTTTTTTTTAAAATTGCTGTTCTTCAGATAACCAGAATAAAAGATTTCCTGACATCGGGTTGTAAAGATAGTCAGTGTCATCCCAACTTAGCTCTTCTAATCATTTACTTACCGCCTTAGAGCCAGGGTTCGAATCAGCGAACACTTAATAAGAGCCTGCTGCATGCTGCGCACTGGGGGGCCCGGAGGTGGCCGCTCACGGGTCATTACGGGTGAGCCAGAGGAGTGTGTCATTCACTCAGGCTCAGGAGACAGAGAACTTGGTTTCATCTCTTTTGACATTGTCTATTGAAATCTAGAAACGACTCTTTTGAATTAAAATTTCAGTGTGTGCTTATAAAGTCCATTGTAGCTATCTCTCTGTTTCATTTTCTGCTCAAAAAATCGCGATTTTTTCAACTGTCTAGTTTCCAGGGAAAGTTTGTCTTTACTCTCGTGAGCATTTGAGGTTCCTCAGGGGCCATGATGGTTGAATAATATCTAAAATTGAAAAACTGAAACATGTAAATAGCTAGCTCTTCGATTTTTTAAATTTTTTATTTTTAAATCCTCACCCAAAGATATTTTTCATTTATTTTCAGACAGAGTGGGAGGGAGGGAGAGAGAGAGAGAAACATCGATGTGAGAGAGACCCATCGATTGGCTGCTCCCCTCACAACCCCGACCAGGGTTGGGGACCAAACCGCAACCGAGGGACATGCTGTTGATCGGAATCGAGCTCGAGACTCTGGTCCGCGGGCTGATGCTCTAACCTCTGAGCCAAACTGGCCAGGGTCCTTTAATTTTTTTCTTATGGTTAATTTGGAGGCACAAATTAAAATGAAGTAATGTTAATGGGGATTAATGAACTAATAAGTTATAAAAGATAGAGTTCCTGACATGAATAGCACTATATAAATTTAAAACATTTTCATAGGTGAAGATTATTTTCGCGTGTGCAGAGAGCAGGGTTTTCATGACCATTTGGGAATCGGTGCATCTGACTTGGTCTGATCACTTCATTTTGGCGCTGATGACTCGTTAGCTTCGTTCTCTCCGCTTTCTGATAACCCCTGAAATAATTCTGGCTGGAACATTGCACTTGACTCTGAATTTCTCATTTCTCATTTCCAGAGAGGAGATATTCTCTTTGCAGATGTCAATTTATTCCAAGTCCCTAGATCCGTTCGCATCTGCTGTGGCATTAGACACGTAAAGCCAAATTGCTTTGAGTATAATGCCGTTTTCCCGAAGGATGAATGAAAACGACCATACGAATATGGACCGATGCCTCCTTGGGCATTTGAGGTCTCATCTTAAACCTGATCCGTGTCCTTCACCCTCGCCAGCTGGCTCGAATCAGCCGGTGGCTTGGTTCTTCCTTGGATGTCAGGTTTGAGGTGACGCACGTTGGCGGGTTGACCACTGACAGCCGTGGCAGCACGCGGTTGTGACTGGCTCTCAGGAGGAGGGTGGCACCGTGGACAGGGTGGCAGCAGCAGGACCAGCTTCCCCATCGGCGAAGAGCGGCGAAGACAGTGGAACAGCGGTGTCAGCATGGAAGGGCGGGGACAGCTCTGAGGACTCTCTGGAAGGTGGCAAGGCAGACAGCTTTCAGATTTCTGGTTGAGCTGCTGATGCTATTGACCAAATGGATTGTGTTTTACTCAGCATCTCTCCTTCCGGAGAGCAGAAAGTAAGGCCCTTCCTATAGAGTTCTTAGAGGCGATTTTCCGTAACCATTGGCCTCCTCCCTCAGCTGACCACCTCTGCCGGAGGCATGTTCTGTGAGCTCTGACTTGATAGGAACTAGCAAACATAAAACGCATCAAGAGGGAAATACCGTCAGTTCTGGAAGCTGTTCTGGCCTTTCTGGATTCCTTCCCTACATCCCTAATATTCAAGATCCAAAGCCTGGGGCTTTGGAACCACACACTTCGGCTCTGGGTCACCGGTGGGCTGCACAGTGCATTTTGCCAGAAGGGCTGTTATTGACATGAAGCCCCAGAACATTGAGTAGGGGACTGCTCACTACTGCCCGACTCCCCTGCATCTGCGTGGGGGTGGGCTGGAACAGTTTGCTCTTTAACCAGACCGTTTCTGCTGGCTTCAGGGAGGCCACAGGAGGGGAAGCTGCTGAGCTCGTACACCCTGGAATACACACAAGTAACCAGGTTTCTTCGCTTCTGGACTTGACAGAAGCTTTGCTGTGCTGGTGTGCACTGTGGCAGCCTCGGAGAGGAAGTCACACTTAGTGGCCACAGAGCCCTGTCTCCACGGACTGTCCCGGGAACGAACCCCACGGGCACCGACTGCGCTGCCGACCACTGAACCAGAGCCAGGCGGCAGTCTTTCCAGAAGGCACGAGGGGCCGCCTTTGCAGTGGGGCCCTACGAGCAGGGGGCGCCCTTTGCCCAGCATGTCCCTTTGTAATACTGATGCGTCCAGTCTCCTACCTGACGGGGAAGTGCTTCCGTCCCTCGGGTCTCCACGGTTTTCCTGGCGTCCAGCTTCACGTGGCCCGCACGTGGTCGACCAGAACTACGGGGAGGACCAGGCCTGCGGGAACTTCAGATTTTAGCTTTGTTCTTTTTACGAAATAGGTTTTGGCCAGGTGTGGTAAGCCTACAAGTCGCTACTATGTAATCATTACAAATCTGCTGACATTTAAATTTAAAGATTACTTTTTTTCTAATTGAAAAACTGTCATAACAGAACTTTTACGTGGAAGATTTAAAAAATCCAACTTTTTAATGCAATACACTACATTTTTTCATATTTTTCTTCCAACGACTTTATGGAGATATAATTCACATACTACAAAATTCACTCATTTAAAGTGAACAGTTTAATGGTTTTAGTATATCCACAGAGTTGTACAACCATCACCACGGTTTTAGAACATTTTCATCATCCCCATGATGATGAAATCCCATGCCCTCTAACGATCACCCCAGGCCTGCTATTCCCCCGCCCCGGGCAACTCCAGTCCCCTTTCCGGCTCCATAGATTGGCCTGTTCCGGACATTTCGTGTAAATGGAATCATATGACGTTCGCCCTTCATGATTGGCTTCTTCCACGTAGTGTGATGTGTTCAGGGTTCACCCGTGTTGCAGCACGTATTAGTACTTCATTCCTTTCTCTGTCAGGATAATACTCCATTCTGTGGATGGACCACATTTTGTTTGTCCATTCATCCATCGATGGACATTTCGGTTCTTCCCACTTTCCAGATGCTGTGAATATGCTGCCGTGAACCTCCGCGCAGCTGTTTGTGTGGACATACTTTTCCTGTCCTCGTGTGTGCTGGGAGAGGGCTTGCTGGGTGACATGGTGACTGTTTAACTGGTCGAGGCGCCCCTGGACTGTTTCTCAGGCAGCCGCACCATTACGTTCCCACCAGCAGGGTGTGAGGTCCAGGTTTTCCACCTCTTCCCAGGTTCTTGTCGTTGTGGTCTTTTGGTTTCGTCATCCTGGTGGGCGCACAGTGGTGTCGCGTCATGGTTTTGATTTGCATTTACCCCGTGGCCCTGATGCCAGGCGCCTTTTCATGTGCTTATTGGCCATTTGTGTTTGGAGAAATGTCTGTTCAGATTCTCTGCCCATTTTTTAATTGAGTTATCTTTTTATTACTTAATTGTAATAGTTCTATATGTGTTTTAGATATAAGTCCCTTATCAGATATATGATTTATAAAAATGTTCTCCAATTCTGTGTGTTGTCTTTTCACTTTTTTTTTTCTTTATTGATTTTAGAGAGAGAGAGGAAGGGAAAGGGGGAAAGATAGAAACATCGATGAAAGAGAACATCAGTTAGCTGCCTCCTGCACGCCCCCCACTGGGGATCAGGCCAACAACTTGCATCCTGACCGGGAATCTAACCGGTGACCTCCTCTTGGTGCATGGGTCGACGCTCAACCACTGAGCCACACCTGCTGGGCGTCTTTCCACTTTCTTGATGGTGTCTTTTGAAGCATAAAAGTTTTCATTTCGATAAAGTTAAATTTATTTTTTTATTTTGTCGCTTTTGCTTTTGGTGTCATATCTAAGAAACTACTGTCTAGTCAAAGATCATAAAGATTTACACCTATGTTTTTTCTAAGATTGTTATACTTTTAGAGCTTACATTTAGGTCTTTCTTTTTTCATAATTTTTTTTTAATTATTATTGAATTTAAAGAGAGAGGAACGGAAAAGAGAGAGAAAGAGATAGAAACATTGATGAGAGAGAACATCGATTGACTGCCTCCTGCATGCCCCCCACTGGGGATTTGGCCCACAGCCTGGGCATGTGTCCTGACTGGGAATCGAACTGGCGACCTCTTGGTGCATGGGTCGACGCTCAACCACTGAGCCACAGCAGCCGGACTTACATTTAGGTCTTTAATCTAGTTTAGTTAATTTTTATATATGGCAATGGTAGGGGTCCAACTTTATTTCTTTGCATGTGGTCATATTACTTTGTGATTCACATGTCTACATGCATGTATCTTAAAAATCCAAGTGCTTCTCTTTATTTTTAGTTTTCACTTAATATGATATTACAAAATATCCCACCCCCCACCCCCGCAGGTCTCACAATTGTTTTTTACTCCATACATATTATTCTATCAACTCAATGTACTCTCATATCCCAGTTCTTCCCCATCATATTGGACATTTGGCCCTTTTCATTTTTGGACTATTATAAACATTTGTGTCCACATAGCTCTTGGCCTCTATGGAGTTACTTCCTTAGGACAGATTCCCAAGAGTGGGACCATTTTGGTCAAAGGTTACGAATACTTTTCTAGTTCTTGCTACTGGTTGCTTTTGTTGGTTACTGAAAGGACGGAATCAGTTTACGGTGCCTTCTCCAACGGTAGGTGGATTTCAGTGCAGCTCCAAAACATTGCTGTTAGCCTTCTAAAAGTGTTTGCTGACTTAGATATAAAATGATCATTCTTCAAAATTACTTTAATCTCCATCGCTTCAAAAATTAATTCGTGTTTTCAAAAATTCAAGTGATATATGTATATTACATGAAAAGCCAAAGAGTACTGTTAATAACAGTAACAGTAACCTCCTTACTCAACCACTTGTACTTATTTTGGGTGTGGATTACCTAGGATCTAAGTTTGGTGGCTGTGACAGAGCCCTAGAAAAACAGTGACTTAAAAAGACAGAAGTTTATTTCTTAAAAAGACAGAAACTCAGAGTGGGCATGACAAGTGTGCTTGGGGAGGGCGTCAGGACCAAGGCTCTTTCTGTCTTCCTGCCCCGTGCCCCTGGGACCTTGCCCTTATCTGCATGTTCTGAGACATTCACATTTCATCTGCATCACAGCACGGAAGATTGGGGAAGGGGCTTGCTCCTTCCCTTTGAGAAGGGACTAGCTGCAAGCTAGTCCTGCACATACTTGTGGCCACACCTGGTGCCAGGGGTGCTGCCCAGTGCCGCCGTCAGCTCCGCGGCCGGGTGTCCAACTAAGCATCTGTCGCCACGTCAGGACAGGAGTCAGATCTGGGGTCGACGGGCGTCTGCGCCACCGGCTGTTTCTCTGGCGCAGACCTCCAGGTGTCTGTGTGCCATGCCTACACTCTGCCTCTCGACCCACCACGAAACAGTGCCTCGTGGCTCCCACTCACTGCCCCGCCCTCCTTCCATCCGCCTCATAGCACACCGTCATTGCAGAGTTCGTCTTGAGGTGGGACAAGACGGAGTCAGAAGTATGGGTCTCCACTTGGAGCAGTGTCAGCCCTCAGGCAGCTTGGGCAGCAGCGGCCTCCCAGCCATGGCCCCTTGGGTGGAGACCCATGTGGGTCACATTTCACTCTGTCCCCACCGTTCTCCATCCTGTCTTCCTGACACCCAAGGTGAAAGAAGATGAGAGCTAGCTTAGATGCCCACAGAGCCTATTTTTACCTCTGAAAAATAACTCCCAATTCCTGGGCTTATTTTAACTTTGGGGTTTATAAAACATATTTTGGATGATTATATAAAGTCTTACAACATGGCAGGGAGACACGGAAAGAGTTCCTAAACTGCTTCTGTCACCATGAGCTCAAGTGGACTCACTGACTGAGCTCACCCTCTCGTCCCTCTGCCTTTGGGACCTCATTTGGGTCTCCGTGTTCCTAGCGAAGAGTCACGCGTGGAGGGCTTGTCGCCCTGCCGCAGGAGGTGTAACTCGCTTTGTTAAAGATGACACAGCATTTGGATGGTTCCAAATGAAGTGTTTTATTATGGACACGTAAATACCACTCACAGCTGAGCCGAGGAGACTGTGATTACATTTTCCTTTTTAGATAACTTTCTGTTTTTTCCTGAAGTTCACGAAGGACACATTTGCTTTGTGTTCTTTGAATTTCTAAGTCTTCCCACACCCTCCCAGCTCTTGAAAACTCCTCTCAGTACAGCTTTCTACATATTCCAACCTGCCAGATAATGTTTCAGTTCCTCTTTATCCTGAAGGGGCTTCCTGGGGCCCTCTGTCCTGCTCACCTCTGACCTGGCCACCCCCAGACCCCTACTTCACACCTGTTACCCTAGGACTTCCCTCTTCGTTCTGCAGATAGCCTCCCCCTTTCCTGTGGGACCCTCTGTTTCCTGGACCCCATGTCTGTCTCTTTCCTGATTTACCGCTTCGTTTTGCTGGAACACGTCCTCCAGTGCCTCCTCAGGACGAGTGCATGGGAAGAAACTGTTTCGCCTTTGTCTGGAAGTCTCTCTGCTCAGTCATTTTCTACTCCCTTGGCCACTTGTCTTCCAGTGTTATGGTCTGGACTCCCGGCGGCTCCTAGTTTTCCTGTAGGTAGATTTCTGTGTTGCTCACTTGACGTATATTTGAGGTATTTTCAAAAGGAAAAGGAGAGCGGTGGGAACATCTTTTCTCTGCCATCTGGAAAGTAAAAATGCCATTTTCACGTCTTTGGTTATGAGCATGGAGGAACATTTTCATGTATTTGTTTAATCATTTGATTTCCCACTGTTGTGAATTACCCATTAAAACCTTCAAAGAACAAATTATTTAACAATTAGCACAAAACACAGAGAGTGAATGCCTATTTTCTCCCCTGGCTCTGGGCTCCCTTTCAGATTGCCTCACGCCCGTGACCGCTGTGAACATGCTCACCCAGCAGGAGGTCCCCGTTGTCATCTCGGCCAGAGCTGACTTTGAGGACTCTCTGGACTCAAAAATAGGTGAGTAGCTACTAAAATGTAATTGGGATCATATCTGTCGCAGACTTTAAGTCAAAACGCTAGCCTGTTGCCGTCAAGTGGAAGAGCTGACTCTCTGAGCCATTTTGCCTCTTTGTAATAATGAATGCCCCCCTCATTTAATCACCACCCTTATTTAAGAACTATGTCTTGAAAGCTTCAAGTAGATTGCACCTTGCTGGTTGCTATTGAGAATAATAAAAGGTGTCTGGCCCGCGGGGGCTTGTCAGTGGAAGTGGTTGGTGAGGCTTGTCCTATGATGCCGGGAACAGTACATCTCGGGTGAAAATCCCACTTCAGAACCCAGAACCTGCGGCAGCTCCTGAGAGGGGGTTGCACGCACAAACCATCCCCGTGGGCTGGGATTTTGGTGCAGGCTCGGAGGAGGAGGGAAGCAGCCAGGGAGGGGGATGCGCGTGTAGAAGTGTAAATTGGCACCCTCGGCCCCTTGCTCACTCGAGCATCCTGAACGGTTGCACCCAGCGGGAAGCCTGGGGAGGAACCGAGGACGGCAGCCAAAGAGCCCATCGGAGGTCCGCCCCCAGCTGGGCCCCAGGTCCGCCCTCAGCTGCGCCCCAGCGCCTCTTCTCCACGCCCCTCCTGTACCCCAGCCCGGCTCCAGAGGGCCGGCACCCTGCAGAGAACCCATTTCCACTGGTTTCCCACACAGACCAAATAGCATTTCTTATCAGAATCATGTTTCCCTCAGTTCTCAGATCCGTTTGGACAAAGTGACTTGAGCAAACCCCACACGGAAAGCAGACAGTGGCCGTTCGTTCAGGTCACTCTCTCCTGACGGTCGAAACCTAGAAAGTGCGTTACTTAAACGGTATCTTCTACTTTTCTGCATTTTATACCTAGGAAAATTATTGCTACGGCTAGCCACGATGAATGATAAAGGCAGTGTTTGTTGATGCGGCGTTCTGTGCTTTTGGTGTTTTGATTCAAAGTACTGACACAAATTGAGTGTCTGAAGGAAAAAAAGGCTGATTTTTGGTATGCTTCGAAAATAATTTTTCCTGTTGTCTCGATTTCCCACAGTTACATAACTAACATTTCCTAAGTTACTGCCTGTTGCCCTCCTAGAGGAACAGAAAGAGAAATCAAACTAGGTGACAGTCGTTTTGCCGTCTCACTTCAAACAGCGCGGCGTCCTGAGCCTACGGCGCCAGCGCCTGACCCAGAGTGGGCTTTGTCTTTTATTCTGACAGATTTTTATTTGTTTTATTAATTAATTAATTTTTGTTACAGATGTTTCTCCCTTTTCCCCCCAGACTCCCTCCTCCCGATCCCCCCAGCATTGTTGTCTGTGTCCATCGGTTACACATACATGCATATAAGGACATGACTCCTGGTTACTCTGGACCGTACACTTTGGAGTGTATGAAGTGACTCTTCCCTTCCTGGCCGGGAACACTTTTCAGTAGTATTCATTGCTCGCCGTCGGGCCTCACCCTTCAGTGTCTCTCAGCACTGTGAACGTTTATTAGGTCCCTTCACTAGGTGTTCCTTCCTGTCGGTAATCTCTGGCACACAGCCTCGGAGCCCCTCCGCCTCAGCAAGGAGCTTTAGGGCATGTCTCCCAAACAGGACGCGCCCTTGTCGGCCAGGCTCCGGAGAGGCTGTTCGCGGAGACCTGCCTAGAGCATGCTGGGTATTACCCTTCGCTTGTCTCTCTCAGCCGCTACAAGAGGTGATGTGCCTACAAGGATGTCAGCAGTTGTGACAGTTGACCCTACAGCAAGAGTTCTCAGCCCAGGGCGATTTGGCCAGCAGGGAACATACAGCAACTGTAGAGACATTTTGTTTGCCACAGCTGGGGGTTGGGTGCTTCCGGTAGAGACCAGGGGTGCTGCTCGCCCCGGGCCACAACACCAATAACTGGAATACCTGTTCTTAAGGATCGCTGAAGCCGAACCAGGCCGGGGCCCTCTGGAGGAGTGATTAACTCCTGCTCCACTCCGACTCCTCAAGGGCGTGTGTGGGCTGAAGAATAATGTCTGTTCAGGGTGTGCTCCTGCCTCTGGGAATGGAGTGCAGCAGCAGACAGTTGCCAGCTCCCGGCTTCCTGACTGCGTGGATTTCCCGGGGGTGCTGGCGAACGCCGGAGCAGTCAGCCTCCTCAAGAGAACGCCCTGTCCTCTGTCGCCAGTGGGTTCAGAGAAGAGGCTCCCCCGAGACTTGTGACTTACTGTTTCATGCCCAAAAGCACCCCAAGTTGTGTATTTTAGGATTACAACTATTTTTGAAATGAAATTAAGCAAGGGAAGAAGACTTAAAGGAAACAGTACCGAGACGGTGAACTGGTGGTGGTGGGGGGCGGTGAGGTTCTCCACAACGGCTCTCCTGTGCCCAGTGAACGGGGTATGCTTCTCTTGCTCCTATAAAGAAAGAGGGAGTGTCTCCCCGAGGAGGCTAAAGCTAGGTGCTGGTGCTGTTGATTATTTGTGATTTGGGCATTTGCAAAGGAGACATTTTGTGTTTCTTCCTCTCCCAATAGGAATTCCCAGCACCAGCTCAGAGGACACCATCGTAGCCCAAACCCTGGGCCTGTCCTACTCCAAAGTCATTGAAACTTTGCCAGACGGCACAGAGAGGCTGAGCGGCTCTGCTGAGGTGGGTGCCCTGTAGCCTGGGCCTGAGGACTGACTTCTCGATCCATGACCTTGACATGAGTCTGATGAGACATTTTCCTTTGGTGTAGATCACAGCCTGCCACGTCACTCACCCCCACCCCCAACAGCCTTGCAGCCCCGTTTCCTAAGCTGTACAAACAAGATCACATTCTCTTTCAAGGTCTAGAAGTGTATCGACTCCCAGTCGAACCCAGTTCTAGAATAGCAGGTTTATGACAGTAAGTTTATTTTGGGGACTCCTGCTTAGAAAAATGGCTCTTGCAGGAAAGCACTTTCATTCGTGCACTTCTGGAAGGTAAATAGTGACACGTGGAGAAGATGGACTTTCAGGGGCTCATGAGCACCTGCACCACGATTGTGTGTGGCAGCGGGAGAGCCGGGCACGGAGTGGCCTCCCAGCGTGGAAGCGGGTCCTGGTGGGAGCTCTGGACCCAGAGCCGTCCGGCCCTTCGCGATGGAGCCACTGTGCTGGCAGAGCTGCTCCCTGTCCTTCCGCAGGGCGGGCTTTGGTCCCAGAGCCCAGCACAGGCCTGGCCCAGCAGTCCATCCTCCGAGCCAGCCCCAGGGCAGCCCCAGGGCGGGTTGTCGGCAGGCCGCGCCGGCTCTGTCCCTGTCATTGGCTTCCTTCTCTGGAAAGCGTCAGGTGAAGAGAGTTGCTCTTTTCTGCTATTAGGGTTCTGCCCCGCTGTCTATAAAATGGAAGCATTTAGGTACCAAAGAGTGGTTCTGGTTCTTTAGGCTGGGCCCTGGTTCCTTCCCCTGCTTGACTGCTTTCCTGCTTTGGGGCAATATTGAAATTTTCTTTTTTGGATGTTTTTCCTCAACAGAGAGCAGTCATTAAAAATACATATGATGCGGTTCTTGACCGGCAGCTAATGCTGGTTGTGGTGGCCTCTGCAGGCGGGGCTCGGGGAGCTCGGAGCCAGGGCCACTTTCCCAGGGGATGGCGTAGTGGACGCCGTGCCTAGGACCCCCCAAAGGTTTTCATTTCTTTTAAAATCAGAAGAAAAAAGTGAATGTTTTATAGTCAAAAATTGTATTCATTTTTATCCAACAGTCATAAAATATAATTTTTGGTAGGCTCTCCAGGAGGAAAGGGCCCATAAGGGCCACGGCACCTGGACTCATGAAGGTCACAGTGCAGAGAACCCACGTAAATGCAGCAGCCCCTGCGGGCGCGGGGCGGTGACTCGGCCTGACGCAGGGAGCAACGGCATCTCTCTCCTTTCTCAGTTCACAGGTATGAACCGGCAGGATGCGTTTCTCGCCCTGACTCAGAAAGCCCGCAGGAAGAGAGTGGGCGGAGATGTGACGAGTGGTAAACTGAAGGACTGGCTGATCTCCAGGCAGCGCTACTGGGGCACCCCCATCCCCATGGTGCACTGCCCGGCCTGTGGCCCCGTGCCCGTGCCTCTGGAGGACCTGCCCGTGACCTTGCCCCGCATCACATCTTTCACTGGCAAGGGCGGCTCCCCGCTGGCCACGGCCTCGGAGTGGGTGAACTGTCCCTGCCCTCGGTAAGGAGCCACACCCCCTGGCCAAGACTGGGGTTTCAGACTCCCTTTTCCCTGGGGCTGACTCTGCTCCCTTTTCTGGGACTCCCACCAGGCTGGGACCTTTGAGAGAAGGGTTTAGTCTGGGGCTCCGCTCCTGAGCTGGGGGAGCAGCCGTGTCCATTCACATCCTTCCCAGGAGCACCGATCCAGCCATAGGAAATCTGCACCGTCTCCGTAGCTTTCTGAAAGACCACTCGCTTTTGTTTATGTTCCAAAGAGCTCGGAGATGAGAGGAAGTGTCTTCTCCTCTTTGCCTTGCAGGTTTCCTGATACTGGGGGGGTTTGATCGCAGCAGCAGAGTCGAGGCTACCACAGCGAGCATGCCCAGGAGATTTGTCCTTTAATATACTGAACTTACCACCCCCTTCTCGTTCTGGAAACGGGACTGTGTTTTTCTGTCAGTTCACTGGCCTGTCTCAAGTGTAATTTTTATGTTGCCTTACCAGCTGATTACATAAATAACCAATGCCAGGCTCCAGTATTTTCCTTCTTCCTTCTATGGAAAAGCCATTTTTCTCTGCTTTACAGAAATCACGATGAGGATGTTTTGAAATAATTTAGTCCTCTGCCAGCATAGAGCTGAGTTATGAGGCCGGTAATTAGGTAACCACATTTCGGCCGGGGAGTCAGACAATAATGCATTGAAGTCTTGGCCAAGCCTGTTAACTGGCTGTGTGGCCTTGGGAGAGTCACTTGGCTTCTCTGAGCTTTGATTTCCTTGTCAGAAATAAAATAATCCCCTTGAAGGGCTGTCCGGAAGACTAAATTAACCCGTAGTGGCATCTGCATTCAGTAAAGAGAAGCGTCACCCCGCCTTGCCGTCCTGCCCAGCCAGCACTCCCAGGTGCCCACACAGGCAGCCTGAGACTTGAGATGGGCTTGTAGGCAGGAACACGGGGCGCTCTGGACCTTTTCCGGGTAGAAACGTGGGCTCCGGGAGAAAGATAGCATGTCCTCTTTGTTGATGAGTAGTGACAAGGGCTTTTCTGCCAGGGACGTTGGTGGCCCTCATGGCTCCATTTGCAGCGGCCAGGACCTCCTGTTGGGAGTAAAGGTTCCTGTCCAGGCCACAGATTCCTGGGGGGCGGAGCCCAGGTTTCAGTTTTGGTCAAGGCTCCCTGGATGGTTCTACTGACACCCAGGGCAGAGAACCACGGGGCCAGCGTGGCCACGTGGGCAGCACAGCGGTGAGGACCGTGGGCACCAGAGCCCAGCAGGCGGGAGTCCTTTCCCTCGAGCTCCAAGACCTTGGGTGGATTTCTTAACCTCTCTGAACCCTGGTTACTCATCTGCGAAATGGGGTCATGAGTAGTATCTACCTCATAACCCCCAGGGTTACTGGGGATTAAATGAGATCCTGCCTGTGTGGCTCGGTCGGGGCCTGCTACCCAGGGTTAGTGTTGTCACTGTTGGAGCCAGTGGTGACGATACGTCACCGTCACCTGTCCCTCCCACTTGAGTGCATTACCTCTTCCGTGTCATCCAGCTTTAGAGGCAGCAGGAAGACGTGCTGCTCGTCTGGAAGTCCATGGCCACTGAGAAGACACTCAGCCCGGCCAGATGTCATTCCTCTTGTGGGCCGAGCCCTGCCTTTCCCTCCTGCCTTGTACGGTGAGGGAGGTGAAGCAACCTCTGTCTGCTGATTATTCCCGAGAGAGCATCTGTGTTCTGGCTGATTGCTCTCCAAATAAAAAGACCTGGCTTTAAAGTGGAGATGCACTGTTGAGACAGCGTCTTAGGGCAGCGCTGGGCGGTAGGATGCAGGATGCCTTTGGGGGTCTCCCCGATAAGTCCCCACCCCAGGCACCACCCTTTCTCAGTGGGAGCTCCCTGCCTAAAATGCAGAAGGTCCCGGGGAGTCCCAGAGACCTCCCCCACCGCCATACTGGAGGCTCCTGCCGGTGCTCAGCCTCTCCCATTTAACAAGTGGAGGGGAGCGGCCGCCCTTCGGTAATATTTGTGAAGCCAGTGCGAACCGCTTCGCAGATGTGAGACCCAAAGGCAATCCTTCTTTTATTTAAAAATCAAAAACAGACTCGAGCCCTTGCATGCCAGATTAGCCAAAGATTTGCTGCTTCCTCTTGGGGCTTCTCATGCCCTTCCTTGTTTTCCAGGGACCCCCAAAGACTGAGGCTGCCCAGGGGGCGCATGTGAGGGACGGTTGGTCCCGCCGCCACGCCTCCAAAGGGAGAGCCTGGAGTACCAGCTGTGCCCTCCTGTGGCTTCTCACTGCCCCAAAGGGTCCCTGTCAGTAGCTGGCTCAACCCATTCCCTGCCGGCTCAGACCTCGAGGGGTCTTCTAGGGCGCCCCTTCAAGCCTAGGCTTGACTAAGGGCTTCCTCTCTTGGGTCCCTAGAAGTTGTGGCTTTTGGCAACCAGTTTCTTTGCTCCCCAGCCCTCACCCTTGGAATGTGCTTCGAAGCTGGTCTAGCAGTGGGGCCGCTGGGACCTGCCGTCCCCTGGGGGCCTCCACCCCGAGGATGAGGATTGCTTTTTCTTTTCAGCCCTCACTCACCACAGTCGCCATTTACTTTCTTATTTTTTTGTTAATCCTCACCTAAGGATATTTTTTCATTGATTTTTATTTTTATTTTATTTATTTATTGTTTTTAAAAAATATTGCCCTGGCCAGTTTGGCTCAGCGGTTAAAGCGTCGGCTTGCGGTCTGGAGAGACCCGGGTTCGGTTCCCGCTAAGGGCACGTACTTCGGTTGCAGTTTGTCCCCGGCCCTGGTTGGTTGTGCGGGTGGCAGCCACTCGATGTGTCCCTTCACGTCGATGTTTCTCTCTCTCTTTCCCTCCCACTCTAGCTGTACAAAAAAAAAATTGGAAAAATATCCTCGGATGAGGATAAAAAATATTTTTATTGCTTTTTTGGGGGAGAGAAACATCGATTGGCTGCCTCCTGCACAACCCCTAGTGGGGATTAAGCCCGCAACCTGGGCATGTGCCCTGACCAGGAATCAAACTGGGACCTCTCAGTCCATGAGACAAACCTTAATCCACTGAACCATCCGGGCCTGGCTGTTTTTCCATTGATTTTTAGATAGAGTGGAAGGGAGGGAGGGGGGGAGAGAGAGAAACATCAATGTGAGAGAAACAGCGATTGGTTGCCTCCTGCATGACCCTGACAGGGACCAGAGATCAAACCTGCAACCCAGGTACATGCCCTTTACCTGGAATCGAACCCTCTACCCTTCAGTTCGAGGGCCGATACTCTAACCGCTGAGGCACAAGGCCAGGGCTCCATTTACTTCCTTGAACAGTAGGTCTGTCTTCAGCCTGTGTTAGGACTGCATTTAGGCAGCAGATGTTGGTAAATGTGCACTAAATAGCTCTCCTGAGGGGGGCTTCCAGTTTGCAGCGCCGCCGACTTCTGTGCCGTGTGCACTCCCACGAAGGCTGATTTTAGGCTCTCTCCTTGACGTCACTTGTCACGAGCTGGGAGGAGGTGCTCGCAGTTGATTCTCACGAGCTGGGAGGAGGTGGCTGTGGTGCACTCTGCCTTTGGACCTCAAGGCAATGCCACCCTAGTGCATTTCTGCACCCCGGCCCCTAGAGCAGATTTTTTTTTTAAGTAAGTTTATTTTTCAGTGCAACATCTTGCTACATTTGTTTTTCAAATTCTCTTCATAAACTGATTTGCCTCTTAAGCATCATCAAGTAGGCCTTGGCTGGAGGCAGTCTTGACATGCCTGAGAGAGCAGTTAACGTGCAAATAGACACTTCAGTCTTGTTCTTTCAGGTTGTTAGACTGTCTACCAGGTTCAGTTTAGAGAAGCAGGGAATAAGGCTTTTAATTGTTAAAGACTGCAGCTTTTGTTCTGTGAATTTCTTTCAAACATCCTATAGGGTGCAACACGAGAGAGCTTTCTCTGAGTTGTCTTTCCTGGATGTGCCATCATTTGTTCGTGGGACATTTCAGATTCCTGCTCATGACCGTAGCTTCCCCAGAAACTGGTGGAAAACTGCATTAATACTTAACAGAAACCAGGTGGTGAACTTCCTTTGTTCCGTAGGTGCAGGGGAGCAGCCAGGAGAGAGACAGACACGATGGATACCTTTGTTGACTCCGCCTGGTACTACTTCAGATACACGGACCCTCGGAACACTCACAGGTAAAGCCCCTCTGCGAGTGCGTGTCCCCCAGGGCCTTCCAGAAGCAAACGCCAGCCTGGAATTGGATGTGCAAGAGATCCACCGCGGAAATGCCTGTGAAGAATGGAGGGTGAGGGAGCAGGAGTTGGCGGGAGCGCCCTTCGACCGTGATGCGGGTCTGCCATCTGGGCAGGGCGCCAGGGAGGGGCGGGGACTGGGTAGGAAGAGCCTCAGAACACGGTGCAGCTCTGAGACGCTCTCAACCAGCTCGACAGGAAGCCCGTGCAAAGCTTGTCCGCTGGAGAGTCCTAGGTCAGGCAGACTGACGCTGCCCTGGTCCGTGCCCTCTGGCACCGCTGGGAGCTGTTGGTCCCTGTGCTCCCTGAAACAGATCCTGTAAACGGAGTGTGCTAGATGATTGGATTAGATTCTTCGTGGCCAAGTAAGTCCCAAGTACAAGAAAGATAAAACACAGGAGAGGAAGTGCTGTAGTCATACCCCCTGGCCCCGCATTGGCCTGCATTTATACGATTATAAAAATCTAACGTTATTTACTTAACTGAAAATAATGATGTAACTATACAGGGAGGGTAGGAGGTAGGGAGTATGGAAGCTAAGAAACATCGCCTCTTTTTTTTTTTTTTAATCCCCACCCGAGGATATCTTTTCATTTATTTTCAGATAGAGTGGGAGAGAGAGAGTGAGAGAAAAGAGAAACATCAATGTGAGAGAGACACATTGACTAGGTTGCCTCCCGCATGACCCCGACCAGGGCCAGGGACCGAACTGCAACCGAGGTACGTGCCCTTGACCGGAATCGAACCCACAACTCTTTGGTCTGCAGGCCAACGCTCCAACTGCTGATCCAGACCGGCCAGGGCACATCACCTCTTTCTAAAAAAAAATATTTGTATTGCTTTTCACACAGAGAGGAAGGGAGAGGGAGAGAAAAAGAGAAACATCAATGTGAGCGGAACATCTATTGGTTGCCTTCTGCACGCCCCCCATGGGTGGCGGGGGTTGAGCCTGCATCTGGGCCTGTGCCCTGACCAGGAATCAAACCAACAGCCTTTTGAAGAGAACATCATGGCACCCTCTCCGGGTCTTCCTTCTAGAAGGCGCTGTGGTGCATTGCACCCAGTAGTAGCTGGCTTAGGGTGCAGGGACTCGAGCTGCGGCCCTCTCGGGCTTCAGAGGAGAAGCTTCTCGTGGGTGAGGGAGATGCTGACAGTGGTGGGACCCTCCTGGCGTGCTGAGACCGTGCTGAGGTCTTCAGGCCCCTGTCTGGGAGCCCAGGTGGCTCTCATTTCCGTCCCAGAGCCCACGGTGGTTTCCAGGCAGCGTGGATCCGAGCTATGGCTGCTCAACAGCTCAGCCCTTAACTCATCCCAGACTTGTTTTGGGGCTGAGCACCATCCTTGATGTCCCTTTCTCGTCACCTGGATTAGCAGTTGGATTTCTCTGGGGAACCATTTTTCACAAAGAAAAAATTTAAAAAAAATTTTACTGGAATTCTGGCATAGTGGCGGGAGGAGAGATCAAGCTGCAGTGAGAGGCCAACGCGTGGGGGTTGGACAGCCATCCTGCCGGGGGCAGGCGTGGGGGAGAGAACGCACACGTGTCCGAGACCATGGAGCACGCATCCTCCAAGGCAGAAGTGTGCTTCGTCGGATGGCCTCCCTTGGGAATGAAGAGGTCTGTCGTCAGCCAGTGCTACCCCCCCCCCACACACACACATCTCCCAGACTTCCAGTGGGAAGTGATGTTTCCTTTCCTCCCCAGCACCCATTAAGACTGGGGAGTATGAGGAAGCCTTTCGTAGGATCTCTGTGGACTGGAGTCTCCGTTAGGTGACAGAGTCATTGGGCTCTTTCCAGCAGTTACCCTAAGTTTGCTCATTGTATTCAGGAGTCAAATTCAAGCTCTTGCTGACTATTTGCATTTTAAAAATAAGATTGAATTTCTGTTTAAAAATGAACATTTAGTGTCTGCATGATAGTTCCTATTGTAAGCGCCACACTGCCCCCTATTGGTAAGAACTTAAAATTTCTCAATTTTTCTATCACAAGGAAAATTAAAATAAATCTAGATATTCAAATATGCATTATACAGAAATACCCCTTATTTGCTGGTATATTTTCTTCTTATCTTCATTTTATATAAAAATTACGTTTGTTAAAATATATCAGTAATGGCTTCTGAAACAGTTTTTATAAATTTTATACATCAACACTGATCTGACTTAGTTCTCTTTTGTTATATAAGGTTTTCTCTTATGATATTTTAAAAAGGAAATTAGTGTTTTTCTCTGACAATTTATTTCAGGCCATGTGCACATTATAGTCAGTCTGTCTCGTTCATGCAACTGTAGCAAGGCAGGTTTTTAAAAACTGACCATTTCCCTTTCTTCCAGCCCTTTTGACACAGCATTGGCAGACCACTGGCTGCCTGTGGATTTGTACATCGGAGGGAAAGAACACGCTGTCATGCACTTGTTCTATGCGAGATTCTTTAGTCATTTCTGCCATGACCAAAAAATGGTCAAACACAGGTGAGCATTTCTACTGCTTTGCAAAAGAATTCAGTACCATGAACAGCAACTTCAAGTGGGCGTTCGTTCTTTTGAAGGCAGGTAAATGTATGTCATAGAAGAATTCTGCTGTTTAAGCAGACGTTAGAGGTCAAGGTCAGCTTTAACCATTGCAAGTGTGTTCCTGTTGCTTACTTGGTTCTAGCAGGTGGTATTGCATGCTTCCATAGAATCTCCCTTCAGCTCTTCCCTTTAACTGAGTTAAGCAATTGAGATTTTTACTTGAGAGGCAGAGAAGAGCGGTCTATAATGTTATACTACAGCTTTTTGTAGCTTTTCATGTAAGGTCACGTTTACCTTCTGGTCCCTTGATGTAAGCTCTGTTTCTAAGCTTGACTGAATCCTGCCTCCAGTATCACTCTGATAAAAGCATATAATGGATTAAAAGCTAGGGAATCACATTGTAAATCCAGTGATACATTCTTTTCCTGTTGGCCTATGATCTAGTCACAATTATGTTCAGAAAGATGTGTGTGTGCTTTTTGCCCATGAAGGATATCATATATATAAGAGATGTATTTAATGTATTAAACAATTTAAAGTATAACGTGAGCTTCCATGCACCTGTCTCAGTTTAAGAAACAGAGAATAGCCCTGGCCGGTTTGGCTCAGCAGTTGGAGCATTGGGCTGCGGACCGGAGAGTCCCAGGTTCAGTTCCTGCTAAGGGCACGTACCTCAGTTGTAGTTTGTCCCCAGCCCTGGTTGGGGTTGTGTGGGTGGCAACCAGTCGATGTGTCTCTCTCACGTCGATGTTTCTCTCTCTCTCTTCCTCTCTCTTTCCCTCCCGCTCTTTCTGAAGATAAATGCAAAATGTCCTTGGGTGAGGATAAGAAGAAAAAAGAAACAGAGTTGCAGGCTTCTTGGAACCCCCAGTGCCCTTTCTAATTCTATCAGCTCTCTTCCTACCGCCACCCCTCGCCCAGCAAACCCCTATCCTGAATCTTCAATTATTCATTCTCTTACGTTTTTTATAAAGGTATCACCTCTGTACATATTTTTCAACGTTATATACTGTTTAGTTTGCTGTGTTTGAAGAGGATCACATGTCATGTGTTCCGTCCTGCTTTCCTCGCTCAGTCCCTCTGGGATTCACCCACGGTGCCACGCGGAGTTGTTCATTCCTGCCTCCCGGTTGCGCGGTGTTCTGTTACAGGCAGGGGCTCTCACCCGGAACTCAGTTCATGCCACCAGCAGGGGTCGCCCGACTGTTTAGTACAGTTAGGAACACAGCGGCTGGGAGCATTCTCGCACGTGCTCCTGAGCCGCGCCAGCGCTCTCCAGAGTGTGTGTGAGAGTAGAGTGCCGAACCGTGGGCTGGGGCATTCAGCTCGACTGGGGATCACCAGGCTGGTTATGGAACCTGCCCTCCCGCCAGCAGAGGTGAGGCTCCTGCTGCTCTGCCTGTGTCGTCACCATCCTCCAACAGCGTTAGACTCTGACAGGCTGGTGCTTCTAGGCTGGATAGCTCCGTGAGCTAGCGTTGGATTTAACCATGCTGCTGACTTACTCACACTTGGCATGTTTTCAATATGTTTATGGACCGCTGTGTTTCCTCTTCCAGTAGATCCCCATTTGTGTCCTTTGCCCTTATTTCTTCTGGGTCGTCTTCTATTGATTGTAGGAATTTTTTAGTTATTCTGGATGCTTTTTCAGCAGTACGCATTACAAGTATTTATTTATTTTTCTTTATTGATGTTAGAGAGAGAGATAGGAACATTGATGAGAGAGAACATCGATTGGCCATCTCCTGCATGCCCCCCACTGGGGATCGGGCCCACAACCTGGGCATATTCCCTGACCAGGAATTGAACCAGTGACCTCTTGGTGCATGGATCAACGCTCAACCACTGATCCACACTGGCTGGGCACATTGCAAGTATTTTTTCCCAGTCCGTAGCTTGCCTTATTTTTACGATGTCTTTGGATGAACAAAAACTCTTAATATAGTAAATTGTAATAATCTTTTATTGCTTTTAGTGTCTCAGCAGCATCCATTTCCCTGATTGGTAGTATCCTCTTGCTCATAAATCAGTTTTCTTAGGGCCTAGTTATAGGATCTTTATTCCATCCATTGTCTGTTTGCTTTTTGCTGTGCTGGTTATCTATTGGAGTTATTTTAATTTTACAAATTTTAACATTCAGTAAGGGAAGTCCTACTTTGTTCTTTTTTCTCTAGGAATCTCTCAGCTGCGACTAGACCTTTGTTCTTCTGTGTAAATGTCAGATCCAGCTTGTCCAAGTCCATAAAAGTGTCCAGTGAAAGGGGAGTTGGAATTGCTAATATCTTTTCTCTTCCTTCTTGCGCCTCTGATCTTAATGTCTGAAGTCATGTCCCTTTTATCTAAAACATAGGCTTTAGAATACATCTCCTGTTCTTTAGTGAAGAGCCAACTATTGGTTCATTTTTGTGAGTTTGTCAGCTCAATGACACATTTAAAACAATGTTTTGGGGTGGCTTTTTAAAAAAAATATCTTACCTGGTTTTTCACTCATTTTCCATCAGAACAACATATCAGGCTCACTTGTCTGCCACACTACCAGGAGCACAATTCCTGGGATGCTTTTTCAGTTGCTGTTGTGTTTCGTTTTTGTTATTGTTTTTATAAATTTTTAAAATATTTTTTCTGATGGATTTTAGAAAGAGAGGAAAGGAGACAGAGATAGAAATATTGATGAGGGAGAACATCGATTGGCCGCCTCCTGCTTGCCCCACACTGGGGATTGGTCCAACCTGGGCATGTGCCCTGACCAGGAATCAAACCAGCAACCTTTTGGTACACGGGTCGACGCTCAACCACTGAGTCACACTGGCTGGGCGTGTTTAGTTTTTTAATTCAGTATCCTTTAGAGTATTTTTAAAAGTTTTTACTTACTGATTTTAGAAAGAGAGGAAGTGGCAGGGGGAGAGAAGAGAGAGAGAAAGAAACAGAGAGAAAGATTTGTTGTCCCACTTATTTATGCATTTGTTGGTTGATTCTCTTATGTGCCCTGACTGGAGATTGAACCTGCAACCTTGACGTTCAGGATGATACTCTAACCAACAGAGCTACCCAGCTAGTGCCTTTAGAACATTTTTTAGTTACAGAGAAAAGGGGGAAAATATCTGATTGACTCCCCATCAAGATAATCCCAGTTAACAATAAAATACTAATAAAGTAATACATGTCTAAGGTTAAAACTGTTTAGCTGGTCTAACCAGTGTGGCTTGGTGGACTGAATGTCGTCTCACGGACTGAGAGGTCCCAGTTTGATTCCCCATCAGGGCACATGCTCGGGTTGTGGGCTTGATCCCCAGTAGGGGGCGTGCAGGAGGCAGCTGATAGATGTTTCTCTCTCTCCCTTCCTCTCTCTCTAAAAACCAATTAAAAAGTATTTAAAAAATAAAAATAAACATTTTAGCTGCACAGAAAGGGAACCTTGAAATCTCCCTGCATCCCACCCTCCACATTTCTCCTTAATCTAACAGTGTTTTTTGATCTTTTCTGAAAAAATAGTTTGCACAGCTCCATGTTTCTATTGATATACTCTTCTTTTAAATTTTTTTTTTATTTTTTATCCTCACCTGAGGACATGTATTTCCATTTTTTGTTCAGACAGAGTGGGAGGGAGAGAGAGGAAGAGAGAGAGAGAGAGAAACATCGACGTGAAAGGGACACATCGAGTGGCTGCCACCCGCACAACCAACCAGGGCCGGGGACAAACTGCAACTGAGGTACATGCCCTGAGCGGGAACTGAACCCAGGTCTCTCTGGACTGCAGACCGACACTCTAACCACTGAGCCAAACCGGCCAGGGCTATACTCATTTTTAAATGTTACATATATCGCATATATATCTTTTGCTTTTTTTTGACTCAATAATATATGTTGGTGATCTTTCCATATCAACGTATAAAAATCTTCCATTCTTTTAAATTTATTCATAATATTCCATCATAGGGATGTGCCATAATTTAACATAATTTAAGCAGTCATTCATTTTTTTCCATTGCTGTTATTTAAAAAAAAAAAGAATCCAATGACTGACTCTACCTATATTCTTGGCAATTATTTGAAATCATACCTTAGGTTCAAGTCCTAAAACTGGGGAATGCTGGGTCAAAGGATTTGTGTTTTTAAATTATTCATAGCTAAAAAATATTCCTCTTAAAACCTCTGTAATGCAGATGAAAATCCAGTTTCATTAAAAGCAGCACATGGAAAGCCGGGACCTGTTCCCTCGGTCTTTATGCACACGGATTAAACCCCCGCCCGCAGAAAACCAATTCAGGATACAAATTAAATACTTGAAACAGTTTTCTTCTCATTAGACCCAGAGAGCTTCATGTGTTAAAATTAACTGATCTCTGTCAGGAACTAAACACGTGAACAGCATTAATCCTCAGGTAATAAGTGAGTTAACGTGTTCGTACCTTGGGTCATGAAATTTATATGATTCTGCCTTTCATTTCTGATTTCTTTACTGTGGGAACCTCTTTACCTCACTAGATAAAGATGACCTCTGAGGATGGACGTCGTGTCCTGTTACTGTCGCCGTCTGGTAGACAGTGTACACTCTTGGAGACCACTTGCTTAAATAAATCACGTTTAACCCCTTGAACTGAACAGATACAAGTTCATGTCCTTCAAAAGGAAGGTTCTCCTTGGAGGAGGGAACATGAAATAGAGGTTGAGTCAAAGACCAAATGCAACATGAGAAGTATTTTTTTCTCACGGAGGTCTGGAGACAGGCTGTCAGGGTTTCTGGCTCCTTCACAACAGGGCACATTTCTCCAGCTCCAGAAAGTTCTTTGTGGAAGTAACAAATGAATCGATGCATCATTCAGTGGCCTACTAAGTTACAGGACCGGAACGGGCTGCCTTGATGACTTCTTCACAGTGGTTTAAAACTGTATTTGAGGAGAAGAGAGGTTTGCAGCATTATGATATAATTTTAAAATACAGTTTCGGGTATGATGTTA